TGCAATGTCTTAGCCACTAGGGATTGTTACATAGGGCTATACAGGCATCTAGTGGCAACACAATGATATTACAGATACTAAATTGTGCAAAATGTTTATCTTAACAGTCAATTTACAAATAATGCATTCAGATTTGTGGAACTCAATGCACTGAATCTCCACAAATTAGTGTCGTTACTATGACAACCAATTTGAATGTGACAAGCAACTGTTGTCTGAAAAGAATTATATATATATATATCTAATTTACGGGGGGGGGGAGGGATTTAGGGATTTCGCCTAGGACGTCAAATTGGCTAGAAACGTCCCTGTATGTATGTATGTATGTATTTGTCTTTCTGTCTGTCTGTCTGTCTGTCTATCATTCTATCTATCTATTTATTTATTTTCACAATGCATTTCATGTTCCACTCAGGAAAAATATCAGACTTAAATGAAAATATCGCATTTATAGCATATCATAATTGCTCTGCTTTCTTAAAGTCAATCAAATTCATGTTTGTTTTTTTTGTTTGTTTTTTTTAAGATTCATCATCGCACATTATGCAAAATTCAAAAACTTTTTCATTTCTAATCTTTCATTGGCTAACGGCATTTTGTGTTCCAATCAATTCACCAGATAAAAACTAATTTAAATACATGTATTTTTCACAATGAATGTCATGTTTCCGTTCAGAAAAAAATATCAGATAGAATAAAAATATGAAATGTATGAAATAAGTAGTCTGCTTTTTTGTAAGTCAATAGCAAATCGAATTCTTATGTGCTGTTTTAATGTTACTGGTTTTATTGTGCACGATTTATAGTTTATAGTTTATTATGCAAAATTCAAAAACGTGTTTCTTTGTAATCTTTCATTATCTTGTCAATTTGGAATGTTCCAATCAAATCGATTCATCATTATACATTATGCGGCATTGTACTTTTTTTTTTTAATTGGTAATCTTTGATTATCTAACACCATTTTGGTGGTTTCCAATCAATTCAGCAGATATAAAAATGTAAAAAAAAAAAAAAAAAAAAAGAATCCACAATTAAATAAAAAAATAACCTGGGTGAGCAAAAATGGAGAGCATAATGGCTTTTGGGAAACGCAACCCTGGTTAAATACACAAATTAACTCTTATCAGGACTATTTAGCATCATACATGCCTGTAAAATCTAGTTTACAAGCTGCTAGAGTGAGCCAGCTTTAACCCTGAGTTTCAACAGCTGTCACAGCCATGTGAACGGTCGGCCCACCTTCACTAATGGTGTAGGTAAGTGTGAAGAGTTTTGCCCCGTGTGATGTAAGGTGGCTGATCCAGAGGTCTGCTCTGGTGATGTAACCGGTGTTTTACACTGAACTCTGGGAGGATAATGACTCTCCTATGATACACGCTGCCAGTGACACAATGCACTCTAGGTAATAATTTGTAACTGGGGCATTCGTACCCCCTCCCCTACAGTTTTAATGTTTCAAACTCTCTCTCTCTCTCTCTCTCTCTCTGTCTCCTCCTCTTTTATTTTCAGACATTAGCGAGACGCCAGAATCCATAAAATGCAACACAGGGCCCGTCTGAGCAGAGAGAGGTCGCTTCAGCGAGCATAAAATACCTCCAGGATGAAAAATAAAAAGTGATCCTGAGATTTATTGAGTGGAAGAGCCTTTGGTGAAATGAATACATGATGTCAAGTTCATTTCACAGGCAAATTGGTTGCAATCTTCTTTAATCCCTGTTAAATGCCTGGGATGTCTTATCTAATTGTTTGATTGCTTATAGATAAAAAGAAAAATGACTGCGTTAAAGCCAAATATATATTTTTTTATCAAACATAATTTCCTTATTGAATATGACCTGAGGGAAACATAAACTTCAGAAGTTGATAAGTTTAATAAGCAGCATATAAAAAAACAGTGGAAGGATGGAACAGAGTAATGAAAACAGAAGTGTTCCACACACGCACACACATAAATGCACAAACATGTATGCACTCACACTCACATGTAAGTCAGGATGATCTCATTGCTATCAATGCAACACGTTCAGGCACGACATCCCTTCTGGCTCATCTGTTTGTCTCGCTTTCTTGCCCTCCCTTTTCTTTCTTCAAAATCAGTCCCAAAAAACTCATCGTAATGTATATTAGTCAGTTTTAATCTATGCAGTCCCCTGATACATGTCTGTCATCATATAATAAAACAATCAATAAGCTGCTTAATTGTATCCTAGATCCCAGTTAATTAACAAACTTACTTAAATGGGTCAATGAGATTTTCCTAAGGCCTTATTATTATGATGCCATGCTCCTGGAAGTCCTGCTCATGTTTCGGGTAAAGTAGTGTGAAAATTGTTTTCTAAAAAAAGCTGTAGCATTTCATTTGGCCTAAAAATCTGCGACAGTTTGGTGTTGCATTTCCTTGTTGTGACATGCTGGGTATCAGGAAATCTTTCGCTTCGAGTTCGACACCTTGACTTGTCATTCACGTGTTGTGAACGATGTGTCAAGGTTTCGTTACTCACAGTAAAGCTGTGAAGCTCGTGCTTTCCCCAACTGAAAAGCAGTAGCAAACGTTACGCTCTTGATTGTGCTCTTTCAGTCCTGCCTTATTTCCCTTGAATGATTGGATTCCAGTGGATGATTTCATCGAGCACTCAATGTGCATCTGAACTCTCAGTAACACGATACACTCTGTTTTGATTGAGCCAAGTGGTGACAGATTTAATGCTTCATCACTCGTTTGCATATTTTTTATCTCTCAATATCTATTAAACCTATCCAGCAAGTTGGAAAAACAGAAAAACACACACATATAGAGCTCGGCCTCTGCAAGTGAATGGAAAAAGTTATTTTTCCAAATTGTCCTTGCTGCAGGCCAGCTTGCTGAATTTGCTCAAGCATATTGATAATGTAGCTGACGGCTTTTTATTTGACTCTGTTTGATTGTTTGGTCTTCCAGGCATCTAACAACATCCCAAATGACTGTAAAAAAGTGTTAAGCTCTGGAAAACATTAAGCAGTGTACTTCTGTGTATCATATTACTTATAAATATTTAGTCATGAAACACGACCCTGTGGATTATTTGGCTTCCGTAATGACCCAAAGGGAATAAAGCTAAGCTATCACAATAGATATCAATAATACCCTGATAATACGTTTCCTTAAATGTGTACAGCCACACCCTCCGGGTTGCACATCATGGGAGATTTCTGACAATTGTAACAAAATGCATCTATAATTGTGTTTTGTGTGTGTGTGTGTGTGTGTGTGTGCGTGTGTGTGTGAACATAATTGGTTCTCATCTGAAAGACATCCGCTTTTATTGTCTGCAGTGGTTAAATGTAAAGGCAAGGTGTGGACGGTTGTCTCTCAATCATGTACTGCTCTAAAGGAAACGCATCCTCCTCTTAGGTTGTTTTTCAGCGTGCTGTCATAGGAGATCACACCATCTCTGATTTTTATCTGTATCTCTTTCTTTGAAAAATGCTCCTAAAAGCCTTTCCCGTGTTATGACGAGAGACGTGTCTCCAAACGAAATGTTAAAACCTGCTATTATTCTGTGCTCCCCTTTCGGATGAAACTTTTAAGTGCGTAGGCCTACATCTCACCTTTGTCAACACCAGTACATATTCAGATAAGTGTACTCAAAATAATAAAAAAAGACAATAATAAGTGGAAGGGTCTTGTATCTACCAGAAGGGTTATTTTGCGATAATGACTGGCTGACTGTACATTATATGGCTTGTTACACTGCTACTAAAATAATAGGAAAAATACATGGAAATGAAATATTGACTTGAACGTTATTATTATTATTACAATTATTATTATTATTATTATCGAACCTGTAGCTTCCGCTAAGAAAAATAGTCCATTACAAAGCACAAAATAATCAGCATAGCAACAAAATGAATTTCGTTACAATACTATAATGGTATTAATAATGATGTCCTCTAAGGTCGTTTTCACTACAGAAGATCCTACAAAATACCGTGCCAGATGAGTTTTGTATAAAAAAGAGAATGTCCGCGGAGTAACACGAAAATAGTGCCGGTTCCCCTTTTGAGTTTACAGTATGTGTCTGTCCACTGAGCGGGAGTTTTCAAATAATTTCTATAAAAGTTGCATCACGTTTATTTGACCCAGGGCCGTCCTTAGTGGGGTGCAACTGATTAGACATCTGCAAGACATATTTGTAGAGCATTTGCTCATCTGCAATACGTTTCTGAGATGTTTAGAAGATGTCTTTAAGATATTTATGATTAAGAATGCATGCAAAACTGATGTC